CACATTTATTAACTTTCTTTTTTTAATAGAAACCTGGACCAGCAATTCTCTGTGAGTGCAATTCACCCTGCATGGAGTTAACCCTCCCACTGGGCTGCATTGAACTCTGTGGAGATTCCACCAAGCGTGCACAGTGGAACTGCAAACCTCTGAAGAACATGAGAGTCCTCCCTTCCTACAACAGCGGATTCACCTTTTCACACTCTTCCAAACCAGACCTCTAAATCTTTCCTGTTCCCTTAATGATTAATAACCATAGAAGCACCCTTTGCTATTGTGAACTGGTACTCTAATTACTTTTGGCTAGACAGTCACAGCCCTCACTTGGCCACCCATGGGAATAAGGCCTCTCTTATTCCTCAGCTCGGCCTCGTTCAGACTGTGATTTCAACTGTGCTGGAGAGAGCAGGGGCTACTTACCCAATACCCACCACTACAAGCAAATAGGCAGGGAGGGGGCAGAGAAGGACAAGAAGCAGGAGGAGCCCTGACTCTCCTCCCTACCATCTGGTCAGAGTAGCCACTCCATGAAAAGGAGTGAAGTTACTTATGCCTCTTCCAGAGCTCAGGAATTGAGTGACAATTCATTCTCTGGTGTGCTCCTAGGGCACTGAAACTATGTGCGGTCCCTTCCTCGGGGCAGACTGTAAAGTTACAATGCAGACCTATATTTGTTTGCAATAAATCTACTGATTTGTGTAGATGGATGTGATGTTGATGGGAAAGAAGGAAGCACTTGGAGGAAATAGCAGGAAATATGATCTCACCTTCTACTGAGGTGTATGTCCTTCAGTTGTTCAGGAGGTGCTAAATTTTATGGGCTCTTAAATGCTTATGGACTCTTAAACTAAGCCTAGATGCCCATGTAGTAGCAATTCCCAGAAATGTCAACTTTCACTATGTTCTTCCCTTCTGATGCCCCAATTAGAGTCTTCCAAGCTCCTCCAGGCAGGATCACTGCAACGCACCATATCCTAGCCTAACCCAGAAGGTCAGATGGTACAGCATTTTTTTTTACCTGTGCGAATGTCGTGGTTAACACCCTCTACTGAAATAATGGCATTTGGAATTCCCTTTCCAGATAAATCCCTTACCATGCCTTTGATGCCCCGATGAACCTAGTAATGGAACAAATAAATGGATACCTATTACATAAGTGAAAAGCAAATACGATAGAATCATCAAACAGTCACATCTGCATGGGAAAGCAAATCATTAACTTGATAATGACTATGTTCTCTTCCGCCAGAAATCTTGGATGAAAGATATAATTAATCTATCCCCAAATTTAAAAATAACTTTTTTCTCAAATGTAAAATCTAAGTCTTCTCCCCATGTTTGGTATTGCAGTAGGTAAAACGGCATGCATTCTCAAAGCATATAAAATATACGTATGTCAACAGAATCTGTTAGTTTTTTTTTTCTTCTTTGCAAATAATATCACTATCAACATAAAATTAACTTTCTAGGCATCAGCCACTTTTTGACTTTACATTTTTTTTTAGCGCTTCTGTAGTTATGAACATAAGAGAGAGCCATATAAAACAACTAAAAATAGCAAGTCAAAGGGATTTTCATGTGATTGTTTTTAATCAAGCACTGCATTCTGGTAAAATTTTAACATGCTTCGTTATTTTGTCCACTTAAACTAAAATAGTCTGATGTTTAAAAAAAATCTGCTAGTAATTTTGAAGGGTAAGGTTTCTATGATAAATGCCAAAAATGTTCATAATTCAAAACACAGATCATAACTGAAAACTTTAGTGAAAGAATTAGCTACCAGACAGGGTTTTACTAAACTGAAATGAAACATATTAGCCCTGTGAGATCACAAGGGGTGTGTGGAGGGCTGGAAAACTTTGGATAAGAAAGCATATTAAGATTTTTCTAGTCTTTTAAATGATGCCTGTTTGTACAAAGTTTCTCAGTTTCTTTTTAGCAGGAGCACTCTGGATTTTAAAGGTCAAATCTGGACTCTCCCCGTAATACAATGTAAGTGCTGTGGTTGAGATTTCCAAAGCAGCATGTGAACCAATGGAAGATAAATAATTAAGCTAATGGAAGATATGTGTCTGAATCCCATTGGCTGATTTGAAAAGCTGTGGAGGGTAACCCACTGAGAGCTCCTACAGGAATCAGCACAGTTCTGAACTCTTTGGCATCTGTCTCTGCAGGATCAGGTAGAAGGTGATTTGTGAACAACCTGGAGGAATAGCAAGCTTATAGTAAGTACCTCTGAAAACTGTATGGGTCCATTGGACTGGAACCTTACCTACGGGAAAACACAGCAGGCCATAGTAACCTCAAATGAAGACTTTCAGTCAGGCCCCTTCCAAAGTGAATTCTAATTGGGAAAGGTATTCTCTCTCATACCTGTTCCATAAAAACAATCAAGGATTCACGGTTATTTTCCCATTCTTCAGGTAACTCGCTCTCATGAGGATATTTGTCACAGCCCACATAGATGGATAGCTCAAAGCAGTTTGTGTGCAGGTAACTAAAGTCATTTATACCTGTTGATGCAATAAAATAAGAAAAGCTTTAGAACCACAAAATGCTGCTCTTGTTTATTTTGTGCACTAGACCTGATTACTTTAATCAAAGGGCAGAACATCCGAATAGCAAAGTAGACAGCAGTTCTGGCTGGAAAATGCTGTTTTAAACATGTCATGAATATATTAATTGATTCTCATAACATTGTGCCAATAGAAACAAAATCTAAGTTGCACTTCTAAAGAAGTAAAGCCATAATAGCTCCATGAAACTTGATGCAAACTTTTTTAACTTTCCGATAGACAAGAAGTTCCATCTTCATTTTATCCCATTTAAAACAGGGAACTGAGTAGTGCAGTGCATGATAAACCAAGATGAAAAGAGAGTGAGAGAGAGAGAGAGGTAGCTGCTGTACTCATCCCCAGTATAAGCCTTGTTGAAAGCCTCTTGAAGAGTATGGGAGTCTTGGTCGCAGTGTTCTGCAGGGTTCAGTCCTATCACTTCTCTTATTCAACATATATGTGAGACTACTGAGTGAGAGTGTGTGAAAGTATGGACTATCTTGTCATCAATGCACGAATGACACCCAGCATTAATCTCAGTCCCCTTTACTGCAGAAAGTGGGGTTCACCTTCTTGCTGTCCCAGGGTCTAACAGAATTTGGGATCTAAATGAAAAATAGTTGGGTTAAGCTTATTCCAGATAAGATGGATGTGATGCTGATGGAAAAGAAGGAAGCACTTGGAGGAAATATGACCTCACCTTCTACTGAGGTGTATGTTCTTCAGTTGTCCAGGAGGTGTTAAACTTTATGGGCTCTTAAACACTAATGGACTCTTAAACTAAGCCTAGATGCCCATATAGTAGCAATTCCCAGAAATGTCAGTTTTCACTATGTTCTTCCCTTCTGATGCCCCAATTACAGCGTTCTGAGCTTTTGTCTCCTCCAGGCAGGATCATTGCAACACAACATATCTTGGCCTAACCTAGACGGTCGGATCACAAACTATAGATGGTACAGCATGCAGCATCCTGTCTGCTAAGTGGAATGTACTGACAAGAGCAAATAATACCAATTCTTCACCCTTTACATAGGCTGCCAGTCCAATCCCAAGTACAGTTCAAGGTCCAGTGTCCAAATTCTACTCTCATTGAAACTGGAAGTCTGAGTAATTCCACTGATTTCATCTACATCAGTAAAACTAAGAGCTGAATTCTTCTCATGGTCCTCACCATCAAAGCGCTAAATGGGGGAAGGACTTAGCTATCGCAAAGGCCATCTTTTTCCTGTAAATTTCCAAAGAAACACAATTGCTGATATAGTGCAGATTTTAACTCAGAGGGGTCAGCAGCAGAGTATTTTCCCTGGAGCTATGAAAACTCTTGTAGACCATTCAGTAGCTACACTGTGTTGAAGAAGAATGGTCGTTTGATACTAGTGAGCACTGGTGTGGGGGCAATAAGCTCATTTATACCATTCTTAAATGACCATATGCAGAGTGAGTGTGGTTTTGGTTTTTAGTTATTAACAATAAACAGGACTGTCAATAGTACAAATATTTTCCTACAGAAGTAGTACATATGAGGACATCATATATAACTGATAAGGGAATAGAGAAGAGTTAAGGCCATACAGGTTATATTTCGTGTCCTTTGGGTGACTATTCCATGTATAGAGCCTGGCCTCATGAGAGAACTATGGGCTGCACTTTTGTTTCCTATAAAGGCTCCTGCAAAAGATCAGAATTAGTATCGTTGTCTCCTAATAAAGATTTCCATTAGCGATGTGTCCTAACCAACCACTCCTGAACTTTGATGAAGCTCCAATCTGTGTCCACACTTCCCAGCTAACTCCAGTCTCTATAATAGGCCAAACTCTAAAGCCCCAGATTTCCCTGAGCACTGGGGATGTCTGTATGTAGATGAAGACCTCCAATCCATTTCCATTTTTCCTATTTCTCTGCTGATTTTCAGAAGAATCTCCCTTTGGGGAATTTCATTTATTAACATTCTCCAAACTAACACAATAACACAATTCAATGGCCAGGCTGAATGCATGGGGAAAGAAGGAATGAAGATTAATTTCTCATTATCCAAACAAATTGATAATTAAAAAAATATTTTAAGGCTAAGAAGAAAATTGCTCATTAATGATCATTAACTGATTTCTTTCCTAATGGCAAAGATTAGCAGGAAATACATTCACCAAGAATATCTGATTGAAGAGAATAAAAAAAAAAGAAGAAGATCCAATCAATCCAATTATTATGCAGCAGCAGTCAAGTATTTAATGAGCCCTCAGTGCCTTCTGGATGCAGAGTAGGAGGATTATATAACACAGATGTTAAATTTTTATATGTTTGTTGATGGGGAAAGACTAAAATTTCAGACGCTGGCATATGCTGCTCTGCAGAAGCCTGATTCCTTTCCATGTGAGAAATGCTCACAAACATTTTTTCTCTTTACATATTGTATTTCATCCTGGCTAATTTATGATGAAATGTTTTGTGTTACACAGTAATTGCTCTGTTTCCATACGTCTCCTTCAAATAATGGCTTAATGTTGCCAAGAGGAATTCTCCATATATTGTCTGAATGCCCAAATCCAGCATTGGAAATCAAAGATAAGATTCATATGTTGCTTAGATGTTATTTTTAGAATGATTGATGAGATCATTTTCATGGCAACCCATGGTCTGCAACAGGGAATAATGTAGTTAAATACCAAAGAAATGCTGAGGCATTTGATATCTGCAGAAGCTGCTTACAGTCAGCTTACTACACCTCCAGGGACATTGGTGGTATAAAGGAGTTAGACAGCTTCTGGGCAACTCTCTCAGTGCAGGGTTTATGTACACCAGCTCCTTCACAAAACCCAGTGTAGGGCATACCAAGGGCATGGCTGGGGCTGGGAGGGTGCTAAACAGCTTTGAAATCAGCTATTTTGGGCTGTGGAGAAGCCCACTGGACGTCATGAGAGTAAGTTAGCGCAGACCCTGGGCAATTTTCAGGAATGTCACTTTGGGAACAGAGTTTACATCAACAGCTGTTTAAGAATGAATAACTATTGCAACTGTGGGGCTTAAAAGAGGAATAATTGAGAGAACAGCCCATATGGAAATCTGTGACTAGGTAGAAATAATGTCGACATAGCAGACAGGCAACTCCTCACCCTCAAATCAGAGGCAATTTTCATCTGGAGCTGAATGTAACAAATCAGGTCATGTCTCTGCTTAATGAGGATTTTGGTATTAATTGTTAAAAATAATTTAGGTTTTTTTGGTTTATGATTAACTTAAACCATTTTCACTAGTCTCCTTAGTATTTAATGTCAGCTTATTCCTAAATCCCTAACTCCCATATAGTGCTTTTCATCGTCAGAGTTCAAAGCGCTTTGCAAAGGAGGTATCCTTATTCCCAGTTTACAGATGGGGAAACTGAGGCACACCGAATGGCAATGACTTGCCCAAAGTCACCCAACAGGAAATGACAGAGCTTTGAATAGAACCCAGGTCTCCTGAATCCCAGTCCAGTGGTATGGGTGTAAAGAAGAAAACTAGAAAAAATATTTTAGTAATCTCCCCACAAAACAAACCCAGAGACTTCATTATAACACCAGAAAACAGATTAAAAATAATGTGAAGCATCATATAGGAACAAAACAAATTCAATGAACCAAATTCAAAATATAATTGTTACTAAGAAATCATATACTACTCAGCGTCTATGCTGTAGCCAGTTAATTAATGCTACAGCTGTTAGTGAGACAGTCAGCCTTATCTTTGTTGTATCGATTCATAATCAGGTTTATACAGCATTTAAGAAAATTAAAGTCAAATTCAATAATTAGGCAGTCAACTTTCCAAGTTTTCAGAATTTGCATAATACATGGACACTTATCTGCAGGAACTGTTTCTGTGATGTGGACAGTTCAACATCTCTTCCCCTGAATTTCTGCAGTTGTTTTTAACATAGTAAAACATATTTTAAAGTGCAATAAGTTTCTGCTTGGCTTCAGTGCCAGCAAAATTAAACTTTGCCTGATCCAATGTGAAAGCAACAAAAGTAGCTTCCAATACTTGAAACTGTTTATACAGTGAGCATGGCTGTACATAACAAGCAAGACTAAGAGCTCTAATAAAGAAAATGACACGTAAAACCACATATTTGTGTCTCAGAGTAGCAG